GCGTCATCAAGGACGATTGACTCTCTCCTCACTAGAATCACCTCAAGAGACTAATTACACTTATTGGGTGAATAGATAGGGGACTAGAAGAATCATGCTGAGAATAGAGAACAGGACACAGGAAATGCAGAGGATCAGGTCCATTACCCAAGTCATAGCCAAGTGTACGACCCACACAGGACCAGAGCCAAAGCCAAAACTAGAAAATGGCAATACCTGTGCATAGAAGTACTGGTGACCCTTGGCAGCCCCAAGTAGTATCAGTCAAGAAATGAAAAGTGTCCAACAAAAGAATTTCATGCTAGTAGGAAGAACCCAAATGGGGTTTGCACTCTGAAAGACATGTTCCTACAATTCCTGGCGAGGTTGCTCCAGAGTAAGGATCCTAAGGGTACGCATCATTTTGAAAAGGAGAGTGAATACTCAGTTCTACAGTACTGACCACAGTTCTATACATAATGCTTTTATCCTTCTTTGTGGTCTACACAAAGGCACTCCTGGCACTCCTTTGTACGATGGATTGGAGGTTTTTTTTTTAGAGATAGAATTTCACTTTGTCGCCTTCAGTAGACTGCTATGGCATCACAGCTCACAGCAACCTCAAATTCCTGGGCTCAAGTGATTCTCTTGCCTTTGACTCCCGAGTAGCTGAGACTACAGGTGCCCGCCAGTGAGAGGTACTATTGTTCAATTTAACAAATGAAAAACATAGGCTCTGGTACATTAAGCAACTTGCCCAGCTGGAAAATGATAAAATCACACTAGACCTTCAGACTCCCCATCCAATGCTTCCTCCACTCTTCCAAGGTGGATTATGTGAGTGGAAGAAGCTGGAGACTGGAAAAAATAAAAGCTAAAGCTGAGCCATTTGAGGTTAACAGGCCATAGGGAGCAAATAAAAAGATGCCAGGGGAAGAAAGAGGAATGGCTCTATTGGCAAATGTAGGAGTTAGAAGACTGATCTATGAAATTTGTGTTGGAAAGTGGGAGAATAAGTGGGAAAAGTAGGAATAGGGCGAGAGGGATAATCTGGATGCATTGTGGTAACAGACATCACTGCAGTATTATGAGAACCGGGGTAACAATGAAAGCAGGGCCTTAGGAAGATTAATCTGACACTGAGATAAAAATCGGAGAGGAAGAAAGAGGCTAGAAGGCAACTCTACCAGGACACTGTTGTGGTAATTTGGGCAAGGGGGTTAAGTCTTAGATGAAGAGGGCAGTGTAGAAATGGCAGGAAAGAACACATCTATGAGATAAGACAGACACTCCAGGATTCAATAACAGATTAGCTGTGGGAACAAAAAGGACAGAGTTCAAAGCTGCGCCAAGCTCTAAGGGGCTAGAACAGCTGTTCTCAATCTTCCTAATGCTTCAGACCTTTAATAAAGTCCAAAGGGGGCGCGACCCACAGGTTGAGAACCGCTGGGCTAGAAGCATAAAGAGCTCACTGGAACAGATTAGCACCTTTATTTTGAAGAGGTTTGACTTGATGTGACAGTATAAGAGGGCTAGATAGTTTATGTATTTGTTTTAAGTGAAAGGACAGAGTTTCTTGAAAGATAAAAGAGATAGATAAGTGGAAGAGGGACGAACCCAGGTGGGAAGCGCCAGATAAACAGTTTACACCTTGAGATGACATCGCAGCAAACATATAGGTTTCTTTCATATTATTTTATTAGTAATTATAAAATAAAAACAATTTATGAAAATATTTTACTTTTCAAGATATAGAAACTACAATGTTTGCAAAATATACATGCCCATAGTTTTTATAATACACATCCTTATATATACCTTGGACATTTATAAGTGTTTAAGAACCATACCCTGGGGTGGCGCCTCTGGCTCAAAGGAGTAGGGCGCCGGCCCCAAAGGAGTAGGGCACTGTGGAGGGTTCAAACCCAGCCCCGGCCAAAAACTGCAAAAGGAAAAAAAAAAGAATCATACCCTGTAACAGTTGGGAGAGGAAACATTTTCACCAACCTTCATCATATATTGTGACCATCAAGTATTTAAACCACACTATTGAAATCCTAGTGTATAGGCCCAAAGGGATTTAACTTTCAAGGGCCCAAATATTCTTTCATTGTGCAAGGTAAAAAATTGGGAGATGGTTTCCTGAAAGTTAACTCACCTTAGGCAGCTCAAGGAGTGGTGTACTTTCCATGTTTTATCATGAACTAAGGGAGGGAAGAAGGCCATGAAATCCAACACAGGCACATCTCCTCCCATCAACCCTTCCTATCGAGTATGGCTCCTACATCATTATTTCTAAAATACTTGGAGTTGTAAAGCCTCTAATTCTTTAATTATCTAAGATATATGCAAAATGATGCCTTTGCAAATCTAAATTCCATTATCATAAATTAGTTCAAAGTTATGATAGAGATGACTGACCCAGATAGACCTCATTTAGAATTTGTCAGGTGGATAGCATTTGATAAAAATCAGCAAGCCAAAAATCCCCCCCTGGAACTACTGGAAAAGATTCTTTTTCAACAAGAAATCAATCATAAAAGCCAAGTTCCTTTTTGCTTTGGAAAAATTGTGATGAGAAGGTGGGAAAAGAACCTATAACCTTTCAACTCATCAGGCTTAAGGTAATAGTAGATGGCAGCACCCCTGGCTCAGTGAGTAGGGTGCCGGCCACATACACCAAGGCTGGCGGGTTCAAACCTGGCCTGGGCCAGCTAAAAGGAATAACAATGATAACAACAGAAATAGCCAGGCCTTGTGGTGGGTGCCTGTGGTCCCAGCTACTTGGGAGGCTGAGGCAAGATAATCACTTAAGCCTAAGAGTTTAAGGTTGCTGTGAGCTATGATGCCAGGGGGACAACTTGAGACTCTGCCTTAAAAAACAAACAAAAAGATAATAATAGATACTATGAGGCTGGGCGTGGTGGCTCATGCCTCTAATCCTACAATCTGTGAGGCCTAGGTGGGTGGATTGCTTGAGCTCAAGTGTTCAAGACCAGCCTGAGCAAAAAGCAAGACCTCGTCTCTACTAAACATAGAAAAACTGAGGCAAGAGGATCTCTTGAG